ATGGTGTGGGACAATGTTGTCATGGAACAGCTTTTGGCAAATTGTGGACAATTTGTATTAAGATAGCCTATTTTAATCTTTTAAGTAAAAAATTCAGAACTATAAGAAATATATAATCATGTCTTTTTTAAACTAATTTATTAAATTTTTAAAAAAATATAACCATGCCTTTTTTAAACTAATTTATTAAATTTTAAAAAATATATAATCATGTCTTTTTTAAGCTAATTTATTAAATTTTAAAGCTCAAATATTCTTTGGACAATTGTGGACACTGTGGACGTTTCGACATGACATAGGCAAAAAAGTCTTGGACTTAGTAGACATGACAACACTAGTGTGGGGTATATGAATCAGTGTAAAAAAATTGACATATGCATGATCGAAATTTTTAGTTTATTGACTACTGCATCACATTAAATTGTGTTGTTCTTTTACTTTTGTTACAATGTAATACATCTCTGTGTTTCTAATACTTCTTGTTGAATATCATATAAGTCAATAACGAAATATTGGTAGTGATTGCGGGAGGGACTGTTACAGTATACCCAATAACATTTGGAGTTCCTGTAACAATTGGTTGGTCCCAGAAAACATCTGATACTGGGATATTGACTTGGTAGACAGGAATGTTCGGACCTGTGCAACCTGTAGGGTCATTATTATTAAGTTGTAGAGTGCCGAAATCCCACTATGATATTGTGAAAAACACATTAGGCCTTGAGAACTATAGAATTTTGATGCAACTGATGAAACCTGACCAAACCTTAACACAACCTGACGAAACCGTAAGGTTGCATCACTAATGCATGATGCAACTACCAGTATATGTTTTTAAAGGTCACATAGGCATTTTACGTCAGGTTACACGAGTTTGTCAAGTGATTGTCGGGAAGAGTTATGTAATCGGCTCCATTATGAACAAGTTTTTCTAGATAATAATAATAAAAAATACTGTAATAGGAATTTTTTTTTATTAGAAGTAATATTACTCCCATATACTTTGTAGCAGTATATTAACTCTGATAAAAAATAATTTCATAATTTTAATATATAAATATAGACTTATAATATTATCTAGTTATATTCTATATAAAAAAAAAATCAGTTTATAAAATAAAATGTAATATAAATAAGTTGCATCTATAGTCTTTATGAAATTTTTTGTTATAATATTTTGTATAATTAATAATGTTTTTTTTTTAATGTTTAAGGTGAAATCACACCTCTGGTTCTTATTAATATATATTTATTGTGACAAGTTCTTTATATATATGCTAACACAGAACTACAGAGACTTTAAATAATTTATTTACAATCTAAACCTGCTAGAGTGGTTTATGTTTTACACATGTCTCACCTAGCTTTGCACTTCTCAACTAACTATTTCTAGTAATATCACATTCCCTTCACATCTCACACAACTAGTTATAACTTCCAATTTGGTATATTGGGTGTTTACTCCTAATGAGCTTCCAATTTAATATATCTGCAATTACAATCTACTGCAAGTTTTCATTAAAGTACTTTATTTGTGCAATTGTAATTGATATAGATGGCCTTTCTATAGCCATGTATCTCAAGTCAGAACTTGTTGCCTAGTTAGGTTTACCATATAACAAAGTTGGTATTGTATTGTCAAATTAAGTTTGCATTCTTTTATACATCATCTTTCTTCATAAATGTTTTAATCTTCTACTTATTTGCTTAAATACTACTAACTCATATCTCAAGCCAAGCTTTGCCATTATTACTGGTTTGTCTACCCAGGACTTAACATTCTTTTTCTGATATAGTAGTACTAACTAATCTATTTGTACTTCTTTATATGATGTATTACTAAAATTATATTATATAACTGTTTTAATCTATTTTGTTAAAGACCAGCCTAATATAAGGGTGTGGCAACTTAGTGTAGTGGTAAAGTTGTCACACCTCCAAGTGGCAGCGATCAGAGTTTGAATCTCACCAACAGCGAAAAATTTGAATTTCAGAACGTATTATGGCAGACTATAAGTATAAACAAACGGATTGACATCTGTAATCTGGTCATACCAGCCTGTACTAAAAGGTTGTGGAATAATAGTGTAATGTACAAGTTACACAAAACCTGAGTGAAACAGCTGTATAAATCCAAAGTCAGTGCACATGGGAGCCCATTTGGCAAGACCTGAGTAGAGAGATAGCACAGATCTTTGACAGTACTATGTAAAGGATTATCAACTAGAAAACCAGAGAACCGAATGAAACTGAAGTGTTTGGCAAGGCACTCCACCAACCAGACCGCCAGAGAGTAACCAGAGGAAAAAGAACCCAACTGTAGGGATTAGGAACAGGTCACAGCCCTTCCAAGCCATCTGGATTAGAAGTTTGAGTGATGGGTGTACGGTGAATAGTCTGTATAGTAGGAGCTAGGGTCTGAGTGAACTCTATAAGGGTGTAGTAAGTAATAGTAGCGGCTTCAGCTTGCAAGTACTTAGTCTCGGCCTAGGCATAAGTTACCAAAAATTTAGTTGATACATGTGTAAGACATAGACCACTCTAGTAGATTTACTATGAGGATAAAATAGTCCTAAGGGGCCTTAGCAGCAGTTTCTCTTTGGAAGAATATCTGATAGTACTAAGTTGATCAGAGAGTTTAATTGAGTAACTCAAATAATAGTGGGTTACAAGTACAACATCTAGTATAGTTTATATGGGTTATATATGCAAGACTGCTTAAATAGACAATCAAAAGTTGTACATATGGCTAGTATATACTCTCATTAATGTAATAAAGTCAGGGGTAGCCCATGTGGTTGCCCTGACATTCGATCCAAAGTTTAATAAAACATGCCAGACCCCAAAGTGATCACCTTAATATTAAAAAAAAAAAAAAACCAGTCTAATATCATGAAATTCCTTAAATGACAAGCAGTTCTACTTCCAACTAGTGATACAAATTGATGAAAAATCATTTTATCCAACTAATTAATTAATTAGTTTTATTTAACTAATCAATTAGTTGGCCAATCGATTAATCAATTAATCAACTAATCGATTAATTGATTAGTTAACTAATCAATTAGTTAAATAAATAATAATTATATTTGATAAAATATACATAAATCAATTAGTCAGCTAATAGATTAATTGACTAAGTTGGGTTTGTAAAATTTAAATTGATTAGTTGTCAACTTTACAACTAATCAATTAATTCAATTTTGATTTATAATACTACTTCTAACTGTAGGCCTTGTGTTATATTACCGCAACCTCTTAAAAAAAAGTATTTGATATTATTAATCCAAAGTATATACATACATATATAAGTATATTTCTTTTTTTAGCAGTAATCATTGTTGTTGATCTTTTGATGGGAATATATTATATTTTCCACTTTTTAGTAAAATTTTGTAAAGGTCAAGAGTGGAGTGTAGAGAAGGGTTTCAGTTTGCAGGTAGCTTCAAACTTCAGTTAGATTAAGTATACTATAGTTAAGATTATTTGTAATTTTATATTAGTTTAATCTTAAATAAACAAAGGCAGAATATAGCTAAATTAATATATATATTTTTAAAGATCAACTTTATCAAATTTAGTAAAAAATTTTTTTAAATTATTAAAATTTTGATTGATTAAAGTTTAAAATTTATATAATATTAGAGTTTACTATTAAAATTTTTTTTAAATTTTGTAAAATTTTATATTCTTAAAGCTAGAAAAATTTTTGCTTTTAAGACAAATATTAATTTTTACAAATAAATTACAAAATTTATAATTATTAAATTATAATCTTTTATTAAAATTATAAAGAAGTATTAGAAGCTATAGGTCTAAAATTAATATTTAAAAGTTTGTCATAGATAAACTAAAAAAAATTTTTTTAAAAATTATTTTTAAAATTGTATATTTTGGTTTATAAATTTAAGTAACCTAAATTTTTTTATAATCTAAAAATAAACACTACAAAAAAGTAATTCTTATTTTCAAATATAATTATACAAAGTTTTATTTAATTATTTTGATTTTTTAAAAAAATAAATTAGAGCTAAAAAGTGCAAAAACACAGACAAATTTGCTTGTATTCTACTACAATTTAAGGAATATAATTATATTAAGCTATAAGTTTTTAGAGGATTTCTATTTGTACCCGGTGGGTATATACCCAGTATATAAGAAAAAATGTGGATTATTAATTAATACTTTAGAAAATATAATAAATCTTTGTAAAATAATTTTTTAAAGACTTTTTAATTATTTTTATTTAAGAATTTTATCATCGATCGAATTAAAAATTCAATAAATGAAGTTTATTTCGATGTTCGAAATTTTGATATTTAAATAATAATTGTCGCAGCTGATGCTGAAATTTGGAGCCTCGATTTGAGAATATAAACCCTGCTAAAATTCACATATACTCTTTAATTATAACCCTAAATCCTAACTTAATCCTAAAAAAAAAAGCGGACAAAAACACTCCAAAAAATTTTAAATTTTCATATCAAAATAGGTCCGAATTTCAGCATCAGTTGCAACAATAATTATTCGCCGATTCCACTATCTTGATTTGGAAATATCAACCTTATTAAAATTTACATATACTCGCAAACCTTAAAAAAAAACATCTTTCAAAATATTAAATAGGTAGCAACAATTATTAAAGGGTAATAACATCCTGGATACTTTGAAAATTATAATAATAATTCGTAATATTTTATGCATCAAAATAAATATTTATTAATACAATATATATATAATAATTATCGTGGCTGAAGTTGGAGACGGCTAAAGCTGGAAATTAGGATCCCTGACTTAAAAATATACACTATTAAAATCCAGTTATGCTCTTTTATTATCAAACCCACCCTAACCCTAATATAAATATAAAACAAGAAAACATCTGAAAGTTTCATATTAAAATATCAAAAATTTCTAGCTTCAACCGTGTCCAGCTTTAGTCGCGACAATAATTCTTAAATTAAAAAATTAATTATATATCGCACAAAACGGCTATTAAGTTAAAGTGTTTCTTCACTTTCTTGCTTTTTATGAGGATTCACTTCTTCACTTACTTCCTTTTGATGAGGACTCACACTTTCGCTTTCTTCCTTTTCAAGAATATCTTTTTTTATTTCCAAATTCGTTTGAATAACCCTATATTTTTCTTTTAAAATCGCTTTTTTTAGAGCTGTTGATTGGTTTGGTATTAAATATGCAATAAATTTAATTGCATACACAAAATGCTGTTTAAATAAAAAAAAAAGTAATAATTATGAAAATTTATATTAAAGAATTATATATTAAAATGAATTAATAACATTAAATTACCTCATAAACAATTATGAATATAAGCCTAGCAATTAGCAAATTAGCTTCATCTCCATCCACATATTTAAGGAATTGTGCTTTCAACCAATTAGAATAAAATGCGATAATAATAGCGTTTGACAGTACACCACAAAGCGAAAGAAAATTCAAGGCTTTTTCCCACATTCCAATATCTTGAGCCATATGTCCTACTGGTCTGCGCATAGTAGTTAGATACTTCAAATAATAAAATATGATAAATTTGCAATTAATTTAATTGATTTAAATGGACTTAATTATAAGAAAAGTATATGAATGGCTTGTCTAGCTAGTATTAATGGATTAAAATGAAATGAGAGGTTTCTATTTGACCCCCTAAAACCCACTTATACTTGTTTATTATAAGCCCTAATCCTAACCCTAAAAAAACGCTAAAAAAATGCACCCCAAAAATTTGTATTTTTCGGTTGCTTGTCTATTTTACACTATCTCTCATTTCATTTTAATCTGTCACATTTGTCATATTGTAAATCACCGGCCATTCTAATACCTCTATAACAATTAAAAAAAAAATTACTTTGAAATAATCTGATCTGATTTCAATAGCATTATATATCCAAGAAAACAATGGAGCTAAAGGAAATACCGAACAAAATAATGATATAAACCCAAATTGTATAACTAAAAGATTGATTCGAATATTAATATAACGATTTTATTATTAGATTTTATAAATATAAAACAAATAAGACCAACCAATTTTTACATATTCGGAATCTTCTATTTGTGGAGGATCAACTAAAACACCATCTTTTACCCATTGTGAATGTTCAACTTCTTCCGATTGTGGATTTTTATCTGTCTTATAATACCATTCATTAAATTTCCTCAAACAAAGCCTATAAACAATTAACGGTTTTAGAGAAAGACTATAAAAAAGAAATACTGTAAGTTGCAAAAATACATACGGAATAAAAATTTCTGTTATTATTCCAAATGCTTGTTTCCCAACCATGATAATTGCTAATTGAACAGTAAGTTCTGTAAAGCAATTGTCATATTCACATCCTGTTGTAATATCGGGTCTGTTTATCAAACTTCTTATATACTAAGTTGAAGTAAAATTTTGGTTACAATATAATAGTTAAAACTTAATAAAAGAATATAACATTTACCTTTTGTTTAAAGAACATAATGTAGAACAAGGCAGTGTAAAAATTCACAAAGTCGAAAAGGAATATTTTAAGAATCAACGAATCTTAATATTTTCAAGATAGTGAATTAATAAAAATATAAAAAATAAAAACAAGAATAGTCAATTTAAATACAATAGAAACCTTCAAATTTTGTTTCGGTTTTATGATTCTCAAAATTTGTCAGAAATAGCGCCAATTTTGAATATAACTTTTGTTGTTACAAGATAAAAGTTTTAAAACTATTAGATAGTTTTGTTTAAAAAAATTTAAACATTGGATAAATCGAATACATATTTACCACTCTAAGTACAATCATTACTGTAAGACTCACTAAAGCAGTGATGACAGATGTATAAATACCGACATGAATCCATATTTTTGGAAAGACAAGTAAAACTCCAGTTGTAACCAGAAAAATACACAGCTATTGAATATTAAATATTAAATAAGAAAATCTAAGATTTCCGCTTCAGAAAGATACTATGTTTAATTGAACTAATCTTACTGCAATAAAGATAATAGTTCCAGAAATTGTAAACCTTGTTAATCTGTCAGTTATAGGGAAATAAATTTCTTTTCCCTCTTTCAATTTTGATGTACGGATCTCTTTGGTGTGAAAAGTAAATAGTTTAATTTTGAAAAGGATGGAACTATCTTAAGGTAACAAACAGGATGTAACAAATTATACTGACTCCCAATAAATTCTGGTCTTGGTAATTCCTAAAAAATTTGAATGGAATAAGAAGTCATGCTAACATTAATGCAAAAATTTGCAATGTTTGGATTATGAAATTATTACCTCTTGTTCATATTCCATGACATCCCAATTATATTGTATAGTACTATTAGCTCTTTTCCAACATTCTAGAAACAGAGCAACTGTAAAAAAAAGAGAGAGAGAAAGAATTGAGTAAAAGATATTTGTTTATCCAATGTACCGTATAGCATTGACTACATCCAGCTTGTAAGCTCGCATGATGCCGAACAGTAACTGAATGCGTAATTTTAAGCACCTTCGGTGCTTAAAATTCGATCAACCGGACTGCATACGCCGATATCTAGTAAGATACGTATGTTTCTGATACTATTGAAGCGTGGTAACGCTTTATTATAATGCCGCAGTCATTACGTCGCCAAGTTTTAATAGCACCCCACCCCTTGAATGTGTGCTAGGTTTGTGGCGCAGATTTACTGAACTACGAATCTGATTTCAAATCGCTTATTTCTCAATAAAAAGTTTCCATTGGACAATTTTACCAATATAAATTACCTTCTTCTAACCCGTAACCCTAACCCCAACTCTAACATTAAGAATTTTTGCTGCGCCATAAACCTAGTACACATTCAAGTAATGCGTTTTAATAACTGTTTTATCCGGCACTTACATTTTAAATTCTGTACGAATTTATTAAAACATATTGCATTCAAAAAATCTGGGTTTAGTTAGTGACGTAGGCAAACTTTTTTAAAGTTCATTAATTTTAGGGTTAGCGTTTCATATAAAGTTAAATGCTAAGAAATATTTAGTAAAATTGCACAAGGAAACTTTGTTAGTGCACTAAAGGTGGTTTACTATGCAAATTTACACCTGATTCTCGAAATCTGATTTGTAGATCATGCATAATCATACATAACTAAACCCAGATTTTTTGAATGCAAACTAGGGTTGGGGGCACGAGGCATGCCTTTCGGGCATGCCCTTTTTCAAAAAATTTATATATGTAAAAAGTTGGCACGTAAAAAATTTTGGAGGCATGCCTCTAAATCAAAAAAAGCCAGAGGCATGCCCATGGGGCATGCCCGAAAATTTTCCCGTGCCCCCAACCCTAATGCAAACATATCAGGATAGTGATATGCCAGATATTAGCTGAGAACAATTTACTAAGATCCATTATAATTGGTCATATGAATATATTTGAATTGAGATTTTGCCTACGTCTGCTCATCCTAGGAAAGTCCGACGGACAGCCCGATTCTCATCTAGCTCATAAATAAAGTATAAGTGCGAAAATTAATTCTGAACAATTTTAATAAATCGTTTAAAATAGGTCATCGTTGCCCGAGCTGTCCGAATGACAACACCGCCCTAGGATATCAGCTAATATCTAGAGCTTCCTAAATGGAAAATCCGAAATGCCGGATAACAATGTTTCTTCTTATATGACGTAATCATGTAACAAGTACGTACGTAATTTGTCAATGCTGAACGGTATAGTCGTACTCCTATATAGTCACCCTATATAATCGCATCGTAAGAAAAACTTATCTATAATAAAGTCAAAACGTGCAATACTTTGTTCATAAATGAGCGTTGCAGAATGAAATGCTGAGTTTAGTTGTAGGTTGTTACTCTGCAACGCTCAAATTCATAAAAAAAAATACCTTATAATAAAAATAGCACAATTGATGTGTTAAAAACTGTGAATATAGAGGAGTATGACAACATTGCCACAAATTGTAAATTTCATACACCACAATGATATAAATAACGCAAAAGGAACGGTAAGTGCATTATCAACAATAGAGGGAATTCTACCAATATCTTTTGAAGACACTTCTCCTCGACTTAAAAAAAAAAAAAAAAAAAGGTTAAAGTTCATCGCTAAATATTTATGGAATGCTTTAACACAATTACAAACCTAAAAGCATCAATCATTCCATAAATAAGCACGATCACTCCAACGATAGAAGGAATTATCAACCAATTCGTATAAAATTCTGAATTCGATTTCGTTATCGTTATCAATCATTAGAAAATACACAAAGACGTATACACAATGTGTGATAATACACAAAGACGTATATACAATGTGTGATAATACACAAAGACGTATATACAATGTGTAAAAAAAAAAAAAAAAAAAAATGCACCCACTCATAAATGCAAAATACAATGCCAACTTTTCTCCAAAATATTCTCGTATTTGCCGAATGTTCGGTTCTTTGTTCAAGTTCTCTTTTGACTTATCATGAAGAGGATAATATCCAGTGAAGACTTTATCACTTATAAGCTTTGATAGTTCGTAATTTTCGCACTTGGCATTATTGATGGCCACGTTTATGATACGGTGAACCTATCGAAAAGCATACATGTAATGGATTTTTATTATAATATAGAAAATGAAATTTAAAGGTTCAATGAAAATTTACCAATAAATTTCTCCTTGAAAAACTGAAAAAATTCAAACGGGTATTAAGTCCCTCATCACCATCTTTGAATCTTTTCAAATTTTTTGTTTTGAAAAGAGCAGTATGCTTGTTGTGGTTTATGTTATCAAATGTAAAAAAGATAGATAAAAAGGTGGATAAGAAACTCTTGTTTAAATCATTCGGATCTTCATTTTGCTATATTAAAGGAAAAAACAATTATGACTTAATATAAATTTTTAGTATGCATAAGACGAATTAAAGCAGAAAAATGAAATTTACCTTCAAGGGGAACTTGAGTTTCATACCTTGAGCACGTTCACAAAGCAAAGAGAATGGCGCAAAAATTTTTAAATATTCATTCTTATTGTCGTAAGTTTCTCTTTCAATCACCAGTCCTGCTTTAAGAAGAAATTCTATAAAAAAGTTCCTGCGTTCCTTTTTGTCATCGTCTTTTACGTGATATTTGAGAATAAAATCTGGATGACTATCGGCAAAGAGTATCTTTGCAATAGCATCCACTTTTTGTTTTGAAGAATCCACATTTATTTTTGAAGCTATCTCATCAACAATTGATTGTAATGTTTCGGTATTAAGCTTGTCTTCATTTTTTTCCCTCTTCCATCTCTGAATACATTCAAACACAATTCTATCAATTTCCAAAAGAATTATCGTCTTATTTTTATCTAATGCCTTTCATAATTTCATATGCAATTAAAATAAGTTCCAGAATTCTGTGCAAACTTATAGATGTACGTACTATTTCCACAATGTCCGGAGTTATATGAATCATAACATTATTCGCGGAATTCGTATTCATTATTTAAAACCAATGCACTTAGTTTCAGTTAGTAACTAAAAATGTAAACAATTTTTTGCTCTCAGTTTTTATAATTAAGTTTCGGACTAAAAAATGCATCTGCAATGCAACGGTACCCACGCATACATACAACAATGCGTTTAAAAGGGAATGTGATGTTATTTTCTCTGTTTTCTCAGGGTTCTGTGTGTTTTTAGATAACACCCTCACCAATCCTTATTTGGGTACAACATCGAAATTTACGAATAGTATATGCTTGTATAACTTAGGAAATATATACGTTCGTAAATGGTTAGTATGGGTGAGGTTATCATACACAAGATACACAGAAGGCGTTATTCCACTTCAGGAGGATTATAATGTAGAGTCTCAAGAACTAGTTCGTTTAAAAAATTCGCAGCTCCCTTAAATTTCATCGACCCAAAGTAAACCATGGACCGTCAGTGCGGTTTTTTATGTGCGTACGTACGTACGTCGTACCTACGTATGTACGTACGTACGTACGTACGTTCGTACGGGAAATATCAGATACGTACGTACGTACGTACGTACGGGAAATATTCCTGCACTGCAATCTGGTGCGAAGTATCACTGCATATCGGCTAAAAATTGATCAGTAAAAATAGATTGATTCTAAATATGAATATTATATTTATATAAGTGTTCAACACTACAGTTGCAGTATCTTAAGACTTGGACCGCCTCCCTCAATGAGCTAACCGAACGATTTGGGGTGTTCTCAAGCACCTCACTCAATGGATCGGAGGCAAATTTTTAATAGTCGG